GCAGCTGCCCCTGGCTCTGGGGAAGGGCTCGTGGCCGGGCTCACGCTTGCCCTTCCCGCCCCTCCGTGCCTCCCACGCCGTGCAAGGGTCTGATTTCTGCCGCGGCGGCACCGGGAGACACGTTTATGGCACTGACATGACAACAGTAAAGGGGACAGTGCAGAAGACACGAGAGAGGAGCATCTTCCCTTGATTTCCTCCCGCCTCACTTGGTACATTATTCAAGAGCCTCTCAACCTTCCTACCTTTGCGTTAGCTGATTCTCCTCCAAATAAATGCCGTGCCCACGGGATCCCGAGTGCTCAGGAGCCCTCGTCACGTCCCGGAGCCTGGAGGCTGCCGTGGCTCCTGCCCCACCTCGTGGCCCGGGCTCAAGGACGGGGCCTGTCCCGCAGGGGCCCCCGGCGCTGCTCCCGCTGCGAGGCCGCGCGCGCAGCTCAGCCCCGCCGCCCCATTGCAGCTGCACGCTGCATTACTGCTTGGGAAACCCGCACGCTGCATTACTGCACACTGCCCTGCTGCTCTGGGCGCTGCAAGCTGCGCTACTGCCCGCTGCATTGCTCCTCTGGAATAACAGGAACCTTCCCACCTGGTAAGAAGCTTCCCTCATCCCTCCAGTGTAAAGGGGGTTACAACGGAAAGGTCTTTGTAGGGACTTGTATAGGGAATTCGTAGAGTGCCTGCTCTAACGCCCCGGCGGGGCCGGCCCTGCCGCCCCACAGCGGCTCCCTCGAAGGCAACATGAGCATCTTGGCTCACACATTCCCCACGGAATCCCCACGTCTGTGGCGGGGCAGTTCCGGAGGGGCCGGACACCACCCGAGGATGGCACAGCCGGGGCTGCACGGAGCGGCCCCCGAGCGCACACAGCGCCAGCACTTCCAGCTCCAGGAGGGGCTTTTTTAATCCATTCGCCTATTTCCAGTGTTATTTCTATTATTCCAAAACCTTAAAAAAGAACAGCATCTGTTGCCATTCTCATATATCTTATATCTTAATGTTTCTAGGTTACAAAATTTACTTGATTTAGCCAAGGCTGGGATGGTATGGATCATACCATCATATGCATACACATATATATGCCTTCCTCTCACCACCACCTCCTACAGCGCTGAGTGGGATTTCCATATGAGGCAGGACTTCAAAATGAAGCCATCCCAAAATACTCCTAAAAATGTAGCCTCGGCACCACTGGTACCACTACGCAGTTTGGGGACTGGTTTCAGTGTGATATTGGGTCTCTGCTCTCTTCAGTCCATCCTTATGTTGCTCTCTTTGTCCTTCTCCTGACATTAGCTATTTTGGTTTTGGTTCGGGAAGAAAAAGGCAACAAAATCCTGCTATTCTGTGTTGCTGTATCATGAGACAAAGGATAAAAAGATCCATGGATCAATTWTAATATTTCTATTTTCGAGCTACTCACAAAAATGTGGCATATCAGACTACAGCTAGGAAAATTATTTTTCCATCTTGTTTTTCCTTCCTTTGTGCAGTCTGATATTCGAGGGTGTTCATTCTTAATTTTATAAATACATTACCGAGCTGTGTATATTTATAGTACTACTTTAGTGACAAAGCCTGTACAAATAGGGCTTCTTTTAGCATAAGGAGGCATGGTAGCAAATCAGCAACTCGCTGCTATTGAAACGCAGTGCCAAAATTATTATCAGTTTCAAGGAGAAATGAATTTTCCTGCAGCACGGCTCAGGACAACCCATTATTTGCCATCTCTTGCTTTCTGAATAGGCACGTTGTCCATCTCCATTCCAAAGCAGTGATGTGCAATAGATCCTAGCCAATTATGGGGAACGTATTCAAATCTATATTTTCATAGCCAGGGAAAGGCATTAGGAGCTTTGGCACCTGGCATCAAAACCCAGAGCTCTATTAGTGACAAAGCCCCTGATCCTAATGGCATTTTTCCCTGCAAAGGGCCACAAAATCCAGCCCCCTCCAGGCCACGTGTCTTCAGTGAATGCTCAGATCACATCCAAGGGCTGTATTCCATAAATCCAAAGGGCAAGCAGGGGCATTCAGGATGGGGGAAAGAGAAGGGCTCCATGTGGCAAGCGCGGGGGCTAAGGGGCACAGCCCCCATCCTCGGCTCCTCCGGAGCCTCCTGGCGGGAGAGCTGGAGCGGAGCAGCCATTTTGAGCTCCCTGCCTGGGAATTAGCCGCTCCGCTCCCGGCTGCTGCATTGGAGCCGAGGTGGGAACAGGATTAGCGGCCCGGCTCGGCTTTCCCTGCCGCAGACTGGATTATATAAATCCGTGGTTCGCTGCGAGCGGCGCCCGCGAGGCAGCGCGCGGGGATCAGGTGGGATCAGAGGAACCTGTGAATCTGCAGAGAGGCTCGCTCTCCCCCCGAACACAAACCGGGTGCTGTCATTTCCAGAACAATTTTTACATCTCTCATCTGTGCTCAGCAAGGCCCCAGATTGCGCTGTCTTCCCTCCTACTCCTGTAGTGATAGCTTCCCTCCAGGAATATCCCTGCTCCCATCCTCCGAGAGCGCGGTACTATCCGCCCCGGCGGGAGGGGAAAGGGCCAGGCCCTAATTGATTTCCCCTTCCCTCGGATATGATTTATGAGACCTAACGGGGCTCCTACTAAATCATGCTATAAAAATGAAGCATAAATCTCCGTCGGAGGCTTTTTGCAGCGCTGGCTGGTGATGTAAGGCCCTTTAATGGCAGCGGGGTGAAGCTGCGCCGGAATGGCCCGTGCAAGCGCGGTAATCCCGGGGTTTCGGCGCCACAGATCTCACACCGGGAGATTTGGGCTGGAAAAACACCCGGCTGGCACCATCGGGGTTAAAAGACCCCGTCGGAGTTTTCTTGGAGAGCCTGGGAAAGACGGCGCCTTTGCAAACCCCAAAGCTGGGTTATTTCTGAGCAATAAAGACTAAGCCTCGTCCACCTGCATCTTGTAATTTCCCGGCGACAAACAGGGCATTGTGGTCTGAATAGCCAAACCAAATAGCACCTTCCCTTAATTTCCTGGAGCAGTCAGTTGTTATTCACCAAAGAAATTAAAAGCGGGAAGAAAAGGAAAAATAAAGAAAATGCACACAGTTGTACCCAACAGAATAGCAGCTCCTTGTTTCAGCTGCAGCAAAATCCCCATTGCTGCCCTCCATCTCCTCCACCTTCAACATCCTCCTCCTCCTCCTCAAAAAAGCCCATTTAAAACACCACCCACACTCCTCTCCTTAAATGCAGAAAGACCCGGCCAGTTCAGGTCGCGGATCATTCACCAGCTGCAGATTTTCAATCCAAAAACGAACTCCATTAACCCCGTTCTGTTCCCACTTGGGCTTCCTGCACCGGGCCCCTTGACGGGCACAGGGGCGCTTTGGGTACCGCGCTCGCAAGGAGGGAMCGAGCGCGGCCTCACCACGCCGTGAGCTCCCGTCCCACTTATTTTAGAGTAAATTATAGTAAATGGCTGCTTATTTTGTAGTAAAAAACTTTCAGCCAAATTTTGTTCAAGCAATATYGATATTCGCTGTTCAGCTGATTGAATTCCAGTGTTTATTCCACYAAGAATCCCAAAGTGCTAGTGGTTTTATTCAAAGACTCACTGTAAATTTTAAACCTGGGTAGGTTACTTGAAACGTTAGTTACGTCTAAGCAGCAGGAAATCAATGCTGCCAAAGCGCATACCCTGTTCTAGAGCAAACATCATCTGGAAACTCGGCTCCAGCAAAAAAGAGAAGCTCTTTCTAGCTGCAGGCATGGACTAAAGGCAAGAGAAAAGTGTGGAATCCTGCAGCCATCGTACAGGGCCTTCATCTCCCAAGCGTAAGTTCATCCTCACAAGCACTGGGGTCAGCTGGAGCAAGGCCCAGGACAGCACAGCTTGTGTCCTCAGAGGATACTGTGCTAGGACAAAGGGGAAAACTTCTGTTCTTACTAGGTTTAGCACTAAGTTTAGCACAACTTCATKCACCTCTATGCAGACGTGAGGCTTWAAGGCTGTTACTTAAGGCACAAACATGCCCAGGCCTACATAAATATATAGAAACACACGGAGTATAGCTCAGCATTGCTCAATGAGTGACCATCTGACACAAGCTGAAACACAAGAAGTTCCGTCTCCAGGTGAGGAGCAACTTCTTTACTGTTAGGGTRACAGAGCAGTGGAACAGGCTGCCCAGGGAGGTTGTGGAGTCTCCTACTCTGGAGGTCTTCAAAACCCGCCTGGATGCCACCCTGTGCCACATGCGGTAGGTGTGCCTGCTGGAGCAGGAAGGTTGGACTAGATGATCTGTAGAGGTCCCTTCCAACCTTAAATATTCTGTGAATCTGTGAATCTGCAGTAGGGCATAGATACCGAAGCAGTAAATCACATTAATGCAGCAAGCCGCGTGGCTTGGCCCTGCCTCAGGGCCCCTTAGTCCCTCGGGGAACTGGCACGGTGAGGAGCGGCGCAGCCCTCGCGCTGCCTGGGCGCAGGGGAGGCGGCTTCGCTCGCCCTGCCCTTCCTCGTGGTCATTAGGGGATAACCTGCCAGGCTCTCTGGATGCCGTGGGCACGAAGCAGCCAGGCAGCAGTGTGGGGGAAATGGAGCCTGTTCCCGGCCGGAGCGGTTCCCAAGGGGCAGGGGCCGCTTTCCAAAGCCTGTTTCCCTACACCCTTCCTCCCTGACAGAGCCAGGCTTGCAAATGCTCTCGGGCAAGCTGAACTTGTGCTGCCTTTTCAAAAACGTGCTCAAATGAAAACAGGAGATATTGGTGTGAAACCACCCCCTTCACGCAATAATCCTGTGGCTGAAGCGTTTGTTTAGAAGATGGCATTTCGGGTTTAATATCTTTTTCCAGCCGCAAGGTTACAAACCTTCATCCGTCTCCACCCGAGTGATAATTCTTACCACCTTCCACAAGATTAATGGCAGAAAACAGATACGTAGCAAAACATTCACAGACAGCATAACTTACAATTTTGCACACACACTATTTTTGTGTTCTCCCCTCAGCAGCTCAAAGCAAGTACGCGTTGGATGGGACCAAACGTCCTGATAATCTGGCTGGCCCCAGGGCGAGCCCTGCGCGGTGCTTTAGTGATCTCTGTAGCGCCCCTAGGGAGAAGGAAGGCACAAGACACACAAAAGTGCCGTCCTGGAGGAGGGAGACAGACCTTTTCCATCCCTGGAAGGTGGCAGCCTGCAAAGTGAGCTACCAGGGCAGTGCAAGGACACGCTGCATCACTGGTTCCCAAAAGACCCGTGTTTCCCTGTCGCTTCTCAGACACCCCGTGACACATACAGGCAGTCTGGAGTTCCTCACAAGCTGCCTCACCATCCATGCTCTAACATAAACGTCYTTTTCATTTACATGGCAATTGATCACTTGCATCTTAGTACTTTTAATACTACAAGCTGCATGACGGCTTTCCTTTAATAGTAGTCATGCAGCTTGTAGTATTAAAAGTACTAAGATCTCAGTTAAACTGCTGCCACGCTAACTTAGCTTGGAGCACAGGTCTTTGGTAGAAAAGGGCCATTTGCACCACGAACGTGCTTTAGTTTCGGCGTAACCAGACAACATGGAAGTGACTGATGCACATTCCAGTTACTACGTTCACTGTCTTCATGTTAGGCATAATCCTAGATTCAATACAGTTCAAATCTTAGTGAAACTAGGGAGTATAGAGTATATTGCTGAATATCCCTTGACTATAATTTACCTTCTATAGGAGTCTTGCCAGGGGTTCTAATGAAGCAGAGGCAGTTTTGCAGTTTTACCATCTGTTATCAAATCTACTCCTGCTGTAAGAGAAATACAGTTGTGTTAGAGTTTAGAAGCAACAAACACTAAAAAAAATATTTTCCTTCATTGTTTAAATAGCTTTGCTGAACGTTCCAAAGCAGGTAACATCTGGACAATAAACAAAGCACTTTAAAGACTGATGTAATTAAAAGAAGATACATCAGAAGAACAAAAATAATGAGGTGTTCTCCATAAACACAGCACAATACAGGGGTATCGATAAGAAATCATGTCATATTGCAAAGCCTCCATACCTGGAAAAAATACATATGAGAAATATGAATGTCCTTAAATGTTACAAACACCCCTCTGTCCTRTCCAACCTAGGCCCCTGTAGCACTGCAGGGCACTCAGGAGCTCCGTGGCTCTGTTCCTGCTGCCCCTGGGAGGCCCGAGAAGGGCCTGGGGTTTGAAGCTCCACGGAGCACTAAGGCTCAGTTTGCCTTGTGTGCAGTGGACTCAAAATGAATACTTAATATTTATATGAATCATTGTCAGTGTCAAGAAAGATGAAGCTGATAAAAATAGAACCAAATCGGGGAACGAGTTTTAAGATTCACTGGGTAAATGCCTCTTTACGTACGGTATTATTTATAGGTATTTTTCTAACCCGTTCTGTCATCCTGTCTCTTAAAATTATTAGAGAGGGAGAAGGGAGAACCTACGGCAAGTGTTGATGCCAGGGAACTCTTGCTGAGAACTCTGGCATCTCACTTGGAGCCCAGAGAAGGAAGGGGAGAAGCAGCCTGGGAGTTGGGAGCTGTGTTGCTAAGCCCCTTAYTCCTCTCATCTCCTATAAGGAAGCCATTTCAGCCTATTTATTTACCTGAATTCCTCTGTCACGAGCAGCACAGCACTTTCAGGTCTCCGAGGTTGGTGTTTGAGAGGACTCTGAAGGCAACTCTCACCTCCGAGAGCTGCTCARTGGTTCTCCCAGCCCTTGGAGCCTTGCTGCAGTGAGGGTCACAACCACAGTTTCAGCACCAGATCTGTATTTTCTTAACTCTCCTTGAGGTCAATGACAGCTATGGATGGTGTCTTCAAGATGTCCCCAAAGGAGCTTAAACTAGAGATTGAAACCTTTTGGAAATGTCAGTTTTGATAACTCTGTGCGTCTACTGACTTTCATTTGAGAATGAGACGGTCTCTGCCAACCCCTCCCTGCACCACAAAGAGTCCGTGAGTCTCAACCATTTGTGAAAGTACCTTAAAAATCCACATAAAGGACAAAATATAACCAAACATTATTAGATCTTGAAACCATTATTCAATAATAAATCCAAAATGCTAAAGACAATGAAGATGACACTCACCTTGGCAGAACGCTCAAAGGAAGAAGGGACAGCCCCAAGGCTTGTACTAGACTCTTGCAGACAGTAGCTTTGTAGGTGCAAGAAATCTGGGGAGGTCCAAAGCGCAGTGCCTGCTTTCACCCTGCAAGGACACAGGGCATTGCGTAGGGGAAATATGAATCCAGAGGCTATTATTTTATTCAGCATCATGTTAATACTCACCACTTTCATCCTTCCTTCCTTCATGGAGACTTTCCTGTGGCCGGTGAGAACGGCACAGCCGCCCAAGCCCTTGGCCACCACGAGGTGACTGCAAACGCCTCTCCAGCTCTTGACCTATCTAGCAACAGACCTGCAAGGAGCTTGGTCTCCTCTCCATCACCACTGTCCTAAACCCTCCYGAGAAGTACCATACAGGTGTCTGCATGTGTGGCAATACCAAAAGAATAAGCAGAGATCCTAGATCCAGCCCTTTGGGAGGGCTGCAGGGAAGGGAAGAGGTCAGGGAATTTTGTGTTCCTGAGTTTTTGGAAGCTTACTCAGAGTTTTTGGCTAAAAGAGGCAGGTTGTGGAGTATCAATAGCAACAGTGCATGTAGTCTGCTGGTTCTGATCTAGAAACAAAAGGCCAAACACTAATAAATATATTCTTTTTTCAGTGTATTCAAAGTTTCTTCCTATTCTTGATGATGCTCAAAGAAAAWTTTTTTTCAGTACAGTTTCTTCTCAAACTTATTCAGGAAAAAAATAGTAGACAGAAAGAATGAACGAGGCAGTGAAGTATAAGAGAAAGTGACAGAAGGATAAAAAGATTTTCTGCATAACATTTTAGCAAAGTCTTTGAACAAGGGAAAAGCCTTGTCAGTTTGAAATCTGCAGGAGAAATATGACAACATTTATTTAACGTTTTCAAGGAAAAAGGGATCCCTTTTTCCAAGTTGCTTTTATAGGTCCCTTCGAGTCATTTCCATGTAACATTGCACATCTCTGGCTTGCAGTCCTTCAGCCTGCAGCTTCCTTGAGACTCTTCTTTGTTTTGCTGGTTGGTTTTGATTTTTTTTTTTAATGAGGTGACAATAGGAGCAGGTTCTCATGTAGATGATGAAGACAGGGCTGCTTATGAACCTTCCTTCACACAAGTCTCAGCCTGACGCTGTGTCAATATAGTCTTTTCTGGACACCAAATGCCCCTTTGAAGGATCTAAAGGGCCCCCTCCTTGTCCTTCACACTGCTTTTCAGTGCAAGACTGTGACATTAGCTTTGTGTTTTAGGCAACAACAGTGGTTTCAGCTGTAGTTTGAGAGCTGGCCGCCTCCTCAGGGAGCACGGAGCAGTGCAGGGACTGCAGCCACTGCCACAAGGACACTTGTGAAGGAGAACCAGGGAGATCAGCATCTCCCCTACAAGCAATGGGAAAGAAGCCACCGGAGCAGGATTTAGCAACAATAAACAGGGAAAGGGAGGAGACTTCAGCGGGAGAAGCAGGGATCTGTTTTTTCTGGGTGAGGGAAGCTGGACACGGCAGAGTAGGGGGGGATGCAGGAAAGCTCATGCCCTTCCTGGGTGGAYCATCAAGGCTGTCAAGAGTTGGGAATCTCAACCCGTGCACTCCAGAGCAAATACCTCCTGTTCCTGCAAGTGAGAACGAGCTAATCGGAATAATCCCAATGAGGCAGTAATATGCCAGCAATCCTGATATTCTGAGCATGCTGCAAGCAAGAAGGCAGCCTCCAACAGAGCTCAGCAAGACAAATTTAGCAGTATTAGATTTTGTGGTCAAAAGAGCACCTTTTGCTGAATAAAAAAAAGGGTTAGGCTCCAAAGTGGAAAGCCTCACGTACTGCCACCAATGCTTGCAAATGGAGAAGCTCCAAGGGCGTTTGAGGATTTTGGGCAGCCTGTTCTGATGCACTCAGGGTTTTTTCTGGGGCCTGTGAAGGTCAAAAACTCTGAGAGTGAGGAAAACGGAAGGAAAAAAAAGCCGACTTCATCTCCTTAAGAGCTCTAGCAGAGGCTGCACTGATCCAAGCTGGCCAGTATTGCTTTTCTTCRCTGCAATCCTGCAAAAGAATTACGGCATTCGCCACACACTGAAACTCAGTTCAGCGGCCATCCAAGAATAAATGGGATTTCAGGAGAAAAAGCCTGACCTATTAAATATATAGGGCACTTGCAGAAGCGAGAGGGAGCCACATGCTCTTCCTGTGCCTGACAGCCAGCGGGGTGGCTCRGGAATGTCAGCGCCTGTCCCCACAGATGTCATTCTAGGGCTGGTTCGCACTGCATGCAAAATCCAGGGACAATTAGCACCCTTTGGCCCTTGTGTGATCATACCCCTGGTACAGAAAGTCTACAATAAAGAGGTTATCTTTGACTGAGGATATACGCTGCCTAGTGAAACGATGCCGTTTGCCTCTCGTTTGCTTTTAGTTTGCAGATTGTTCATGTTCTCTGTTCACTGAGGAACTCTAACACAGATATATCTTTATGGTTCCCTGGCCTGTGGCAGATACATGGATGGATCTGAAGTAACAGGGACAAGGTAGGGAAGCAGAAAGGCCCGGGAAGCACAGGGACACATCAGCTCTTGGGCTGACTCCCACCGTGACCTCTGACAAGTCACAGCTTCTTGATAGTGATTTTCCAGTCTGCATAATGAGGATAACAGAAAATTATTTACCTACCTCTTCTGGGTATTGCAGGGACTAATTAGTTAATGTTCACGCTGTACTTTGAAGATAATGTTCTATGAATTATTAAGTAAAACATTTATTGTCGCACTGCTTTAAGCAGGTGAAGCAAGGACATCTTTTTGACAGCAGAAAGAACTAAACTTCTGTTCAAAAATCAAGCAGAGAGATCAGAAGGCAGTCTCATCTTTGCTCCATTCTGATTATTCAGCATTCCTCACCAAGACTGACAGGAAATGAGAAGGCAAAGCTTAAGCATTCAGGTAGGTAAAACTTAGGGCCGTTTAAGATGTTATCAACAAAACCCTTTCCAAACAATAGTTAACATTTCAGAAGTTGCTTCTGGCTCTTCTAGATGAAAAGGCAAAGCCAGACTGAACCATTTCAGTAGAACGTGCAAACCAGATTACTGACAGATTAAGTAATATTAGACTGAGTAATGAGAGACAAAGTTAAGAAATGGAATATGGATAAGCCCAAGTGAAAAGGGAGAGGGGYATTTTGCTTTGTTGCCATGGGGCGGGCAAGGAGGCACCTCGCCSTGTCCCCAGGGACGCGAGGAGCAAGGAGCCAGCTCACCCACCTGCTTGGCAGATGGGGTATCCCACAAAATGCCTCCTGTCAGGATGTGGGGCACGGAATCCGCTGAAGGAACCTGGAGAGCACCTTGCAGGTGCCTCCTCCTCCGAAACAACACATTGGGTTAATTCTAACTCACATCAACCGCYGTGACATTTCCTTACGGCACACAGGGATAGCCTGAAATTGCTTGGGCTGCATTCAAGGCATCAGAAGAGTCAAAAACATCCTCCCTGTTCCTTCCTGGAGCATCTCCGAAGGCACCAGGAATTACTCATCTCTTCAAGGGAGATGGAAGAAAAGCTGCCACARGTTTAACAAAATGTAAAGCCTTCCTTCCCCTCTGCTCACGGATTAAAATTAATGTCAACTCAACCAAAATTCAAAACTCACAACAAAAATAAAATAGGTCAGAAAGAAATTATATTAGAAATATGTCCCCCAGTCAATTGTGTGCTTTTCGGGCTTTTGTAACGTCATAATTTCAATACTTACACAACCACCTTAGACTTTTCTAGGTCTCATAACATCCATAAGCAGAAAGACCTCGCTGATCAGCTCCTCTGCATTCCAGCCTAGGAAACTCTTTCTCACAAGAAAATAAATACATAAGCAAGCTTCCTTTTAAACCTCCTCAGCATTTTAAGCTGCCTGCTCCCTGCTCAGCAAGCCAAGGGCACTCGGAGCTGCCCGGGGGACGTGGAGCCYGCAGGGAAAGAGAGCCCTCCTGGGCCACCAGCTCATGGCAGACTCTGCACCGTGCCAGCTTAACAACATCTGTATCCTCGTCCTCTTCGCACCACCTGGAAAAACTGGTATTTGCTAAGGCTCCATAGCCAAAAAGCTTATTTTAAAAACACGTTCTGTAATCAAACGTCTGTTTGTAACATTTATGACTTGGCAGATTAACTTGCACATCAGGCGCACGTCTTGATGGCTAATTTTGAGCCCTAAATGCAGCAGAACAATCTTCTCTCTGGCTGGTGTCTCTCCTTTTTCAAAAAGCAAATGAGTGCATAAATTATGTTTAAAAAGAGGGAGGCATTTTCTACCCACAGCGTAGAGTCACCGTAGGTGGGTTATTATCCAGGAATACTGAAGAGGCAGCAAGTCTGCGAGTTAACCCCTCCTTGGCAGCCTCTCCTTGGCAGCTCCCGTTCTCACTGCCTGAGATTACCAGCAGGGCAGCGCTTCGCAGGCGGCGCCGCAGCTGCATTGCAGACACACAGCAGCAGCAGCAAAGCTCAGGGAACAGATTTGGCTATTTTATTCCCTGGAGCAGCGAGTGAGCCCCTCGGGAGCACCCGGTCACCTCTGCTGATGCTGGCGGTGCCACTGGCTCCCCTTGGCATTTCCCTCASCAAGCACCACGCTGCAGGTGCCGTGTCTGAGCAGGGCAGGATGGACCCTGCACCAGTTTGGAGGGAGCAGCAGGATTTTGAAGTCTACTTCTGCRGCCTCTTTGCTGATGGGAAGGCAGAAAGCAGTGGGTTGGCAAATGGATGTTTTTCAAGGTATGGGCATGCCCTGTAGCCAATGCAAACAGGCACAAAGATGTTCAGCTGGACAGACAGAGCTACCTGTGTTTCCTACAGTTCGGTCTTCTGTGTGCAGAACATAGTGAGCATTGACTTCGGGGACCTCAGAGTCATTACACTGCTAAATATAAACAATTCACTAGGAATTTTAAGATGCTTTCATCCTCCTCTTAAGCCCTGGAAAGATGAGCTCGTATTAGCAAGCTATCCCTCTTTATAGGTATATCCTTTTATTAATAATTAAGCAATCCCTCCTCCTTTTTGAGTATTTCTAAAACATTCCTGAAATAGTTGTATAATACACACCAAAACCACAGAGCCATCCTAAGCCAGGCAGCTGACCTCGTAGAGCACAGTCCAGCTATTTTTTCCTGCTTTCCCTCTGCATATTCCCAAGCCTGCCCCTCTGCTGCCTTTTTTTCCAAAGGATTAGAATGGGGGAAGAGGCCTTTATTCCTCCCTACCTATAGCAATTTCATCACCTATACACAGTGTTTCTTTCTAAGCAGAATATTTTCCCATCAAAACAGAAACTCAGGCTGTACCTCAATGCATATGTATCCACTTTTAAATCCAGAGCTACTCCATCAAATTGAAACTAGTTTTCCCAGGAAGAAGGCTGTTTCTCTGAAGGATGGTTAGCATCGTAGCTCTTGCCAGCTTTCTGCTTTTGCATCTCTTGGCTGACCAGCTTTTACTGATACTTTGATTATTGCTTTTTAAATCATTGCATGATTTTAAATCATTTAAGCAGGGGTTGGAGCGAGGTTTAGTTCTTGCTGTGGAGGCTGACGGAGACGATAAATCCAAGTGCACGACATCACGTGCTCCAGCGTTACTGTAAAAGACTCAGACACCACACTGCTTGTGCAATACCTGCAGTTACCGTAAATTTCTCAGGCTCCTATTTTCSCACATCTCCCCTTTGCCTCTGAGGGCTGGAAACACAGCAGTGCAGCTTTGGCCCTCGCAGGATGCTCTGACAAGCCCGGCACTGAGAGCTTGCGGACACAGCGTAGCCGCCTGGATGTTATCCATCTAATTTCGGTATCTAATCTCTCTCGACACTTATAATATGCCACTCACTGGGGTGCTCCATCTTAGCTGATAGTGAAATCATTTAATAGAAGCRAGTAGTGAGGTAGGTGACAGGCTGATTGATAGAAACATCTTCCCTGTGCACTGTGCAACAGCGTGCAGCATCTAGGGGCCTGGAGAACAAAGGTTCTGCCTTTGTTGGGGGCATCGAGCAAGGGGGGCAAACACCAGGCAACCTGCAAAGGCCTTTTCCCAAAAAGAAGCTGAGCTCCCTTAAAGCCATTTCTTAAACCAGAGTGAGAGCATCACACAGGGTAACGTGCAGCAGGGTAATGTGGTGAGAACAGTCACTGCTCTCTGCTGACAGGGAGTCTTTCCTACGGCCCCAGGAGGGGCGTTCGGAGGTGGCAGCTAATTCTGTCCCAATTCCCCCGTGCTCCATTCAAACCCTGCATTAGGTGTCTCTCTGCAGTGCAACGGTGGCAGAAAGACAACATTTTGGTAAAACCTGCATCACCCGACATGTTCAGATGTGTATAACTAAGAGTCTTTCCCTACCAGAGGCTGAATTAATGACTTGGCAAGGTGACGGTGACTTACCAAGCCTTTCCCACCTTCAAACAGTGCTAAGCTGGAGAGGATTTGTCTGCTAGGGATTGTCTTCCTTAACGAAGGAGCTTTCTCTCTCCCAGCGCCGTGTGTTGTTGCAGTTTCTGTGGCAACGACTCCGGCTGCAGAGAGGAAACAAGTGGAGGCCCAGGAATCACTGTGAATCGTGAGCACATAAACAAGGGCTACCTCGGCACCTCCCTTCTACACACACGTCTTTGACTCAGCTCACACGCCTTGGCTGGAAGATTATTTGGAATAAAGCAATATTTATTGCTTGCATTTTGGTAGCCACAGAGTAAATGCTCTATTTGACATACTTTATATACCACATTTTGCTGATACATAAATGCAACTAATTTAGGACAATAATCAAGTGGGTTTTACTCTTCCCTCTTTACTCTACTCTTCACATAGGGAAARAGTTCATTTAGTCCAGCCTAGAAAAACCACAGGGGAAAGTACAGATCATTTACCAATTGCTTTATCTGTTGTAAAAAATGTTACCCATAATATTAGTAATCATGTAGAAAAGGATGTGAAAGGAAAGATAAGTGCTGGTAAAAAAAATAAAAAAATAAAAAGTATATACTGCTTTTCCAGAACAAGTCAACGTGTGATGTTCTCAGTCCAGGACACTCAAGAATTACAAGCACCTCAAGTGACTGAAAGGCAGAGATGAGCAGGATCAGGCTTAATACCCTTCATTTAGAAAGACAGCTCATACTCAGAGTTAAGATTTCAGTAACCCTAAGCAAAACCTTTAAAATAACTCAGGAAATGCCCTCGGAAAGCAGGAGCGCAGCGGCTGGGGCCTTTTCCCTCGCTGCCCACGTGTCCTCGCACCCTACTTCTCCGGAAACACGATCTCAAAATGGAAGTGTCTTCTCCCGCACCAAGCCTCCTTTCTGGCTTACCCAAGTTTCATTGAGCACAAACTAAGACACCCGCCTCACTTTGTTTAGTCATGAAAATAACAGAAGAAGGGGAGACAAACAAGTCACAAGGATGGAAACTCCTGAACTAGTTTCCCCCCAGCTTCTCACAGTCCACATATGTTTTCTGAAGTGTGTTTGTGTTGGCTCGGAGACGGGACGAGCTGCTTGGAAATGGGGCACGTCATTCACCTCCCTCCTCAACACAGTGGCTCCTTCCTTACCCAGAGGGTTCTCAATCCTGCAGAAATACGGCCACGTAATGCACTTGGCTRCCCCAACCCCACTGGAGACCACAACCCTGAAACCCAGGGTTGGTTTCAGCCCCAGCAGAGGCCCCAGGGCACTGTGATGGAGGTTAATTCCATTACGGATTTGTCGTTTTGGGAAATGCCGCTCTGTTTAAGTTTTTCCAACTGCAGGGCCACTTCCTTGCTAGACACATTCCAAGGAAAGGAGATAGAAAAGCACAGATATTCATGCTCTGAGTTGTGGATTCTAATTGTACTGAGGTTAGCGTGTTGTTTTAAAATAACATCTATACTCTACCTTACATTTAATGAACCAGACCACTTTCCCAGTGTGGATACAAAGGAGGAATAAGGTATAAGAAAACAAAGGCATTTCAGGATACTAATAAATATTTCAAGATACCACGGGTTGAAACATTTCCCCTGATGGGAGTTTCCCCACCCCGCTGAGACCAGTGAGCRTTTCATTATCGACTGCAGAGGGAGGAACACCTCACCTGTTGGCCTTCGCCAGCCTTCACCAAGCAATTCAGCTGGTATTGGCAGATGCCTGGGACAGCAGCAGACTTTTACACTGCACTGCTGCTAAATTCAGCAATTGGCAGCACTCTCTCTGGCCAGGGGAATTTGGGCCATCACGGATAGCTCTTCCGTAGCTGCTCTTGACAGGAAAAGGGATTTTTCAGGAGTATTTTTGCAAGAGATGTTCAAGATGTGCAAGGCTCAGTGTGCTCCTAAGCTGAAGGACAAGTCGACTCCCATGTTTTCTTACATTCTAGCTCAGGAACACTCAGCTTCAGAAGAGACTACCCTCTCCCTAAAACACAGACATTGGCCACAGTTTGCTGTGATTTACAAAGACAACATGTCGACAGCCTCAAATCCYCAAAGCCAGTCAAGACAATGTCCCTCCCCTCACTTGTTATTACACGAGTCCCCTCAGGAGGGAAGGTCTGCAGAGCCACAGCAGCTGGGAGCAGAGCCACAGRGATCAGAACTTGTGTGCTGAAAGTTCCTTTTCCACATGCCCTGAAGTTGCCATCAGGAAAGGAAGCTGTTGGTGGCCACTCTCCATCCTGGGGCCAAGCAATGGGACAGCCTGTGCTTGCCTAAGTGGACTACAGGGAAGTGGACTAAAGGAACTGGACTAAAAGGAAGCGTGTGTGACCTTACCTGCCACGGCCTTGGTGCTTCACCGAGCGAGCCAGCAGCTCTGGCAGCCCTGGCTCCCCCAGAGGAGGGAGGTGCAGCCCTAYGCCGTGTCAGCGCCCCAGCCTCCGCAGGCCTCCTTAGCCGGCAGGGTTCCCAAACGGAGCACAGGATCGAGCCTCGGATGCCAGGAGGTCTATATAAAGAACACAGCCTTAGTGATAGGTCCAAGGAGATACTAAGCAAAACCAAAACACACAAACAGGACAACAAAAATATAGATACACGCGGTAGAAGTATTCCAGGACTCCMTGCTCAGTTTGATTCCTGATCAGACCAAGAAGGCTTGGCCTCCTTGGCCAAGCACCTGAGGAGATTTCCAGGGCAAGAAAGAACAATGAGTGAGAACACAAAGTACTACAAAACCGTCAGTTATTTAAGGCAGAACTGGTAAAAACACACTGGAAACTTTCCAAAGGATGCCTTTTTGTCTTATTATTTATAATGGCAACTGCTTTGTATAAACTACCTTACACAATTGCTTTTGCCTTCACCCTGATTTATCTGACTTTCCTTGACAGATTCTGCCAGAACTGTTTAAATAATAATTGGATGTGCTGCATGCAGATTTCCCTCCGTCTGCCCTCCTCCCTCTCACACACACAACAACCCAGCAGTCTCCCTGCAAACTGCACAGGGATCCACAGTGCTATTTCTCTGCATAAAGAGGCTGCTCTGCTTTCAGACAGAAAAGGTTTGACTTTTCTGAGCRTCATCCAGACACACACTAAATGAAGGGAGAGAAAAGAAATAATAAAAAAAAGGACATTACCACTATAACACTTAAAGGATGAGTGTCTCCTCAGGGATGGATCATGCTCTCCATTCGTATTCTCCACTTCATCCACAGGCAGAGCTTTCCRTGATACTACAAGAAGAGCCGGAGACGGAGAACAGACTAAGAAACACAAAGTGTTTTTGCATTTTGAGCACATTGTCCAGTTGAAAAGAGAGATCAGTTTATCTTGTGCAGACTCTTTAATTGATATTGTAATTGATTCCTTGTGCTTTGCAGTGTCTGTTTTAAATAAATAAATAAATACATATAAAAGGCTAAAAAGCACAAGRCTGAGAAGGAATGCAAGGATAACCCAAACAAAATTGCTAGTTCAAATTCAATCTGAAATGAGAGGTCAGTAAACATACAGACAAGGACCCAAATGACAGGAGCTGCAGGAGCTAATTGCAATTAATGATGTGGAACTGCAGAGAGTTAAGCTGATTTTAGGACAACCGGAGTGGGTTTAGACACAGACCAAATTTGCTGGGCAGGTTAGAGTAAGATAGGAGGCAGTTTTGCAATGGGCAGAGTATCAGCACAGCACCTAACTGAATTTGCTCATAAAAGCCATTTCCCTGCAGTTAGCAGTGATGAGCAGCCCTGAGGCTCCCTTGCACGTACCCAGCTGCCACGGGCAGTAGGAYGGAGGGAAATAAAACAGGCAGATACCAAAACTCAGTATTTAAAACCAACTACAGCTGAGAGCAGAGGTGTTCTCATATACACAGGCTGCTAGTTGAAGTCACTCAGATTTATGATGAGGTCAAGACTTAGCAACCAGGCTGCTAGCTTCTAGGTGGGGCTGTGCAGCCAAAATCGAGGCCAACTTACCTGCTCGGTTCTTTCAACCAAAGCTTTGAGTACGCTTGTGACCACAGCACATCTGAGGGTCATTTTTTAATGAAATAGGAAGCAATTAATTTTTAATGGAAAAACAAGTCAATATATCTAGGTTTGTTGTTGTTGTTGTTGTTGTTTTGACGTGCCACAGCTTTATGAACTGCTGGAAGAAAATGAGCCTGCACTGTAGCAAGGAACCTTTTCACTCGCCAGGAGAATAGTAAATCCAGTGATATTAAAGGTAAAACACAGCCAAATACGACAAACATTAAGGCAGTGTTCAAGAGCAAGCAGCTCAAATGTTTTTTCTCTCCCACAGCCTGTTTTCCTTCCCAAGTATTTATGGTGAGAGGTCTGTTTCCCTCCTGCCTACCCGCTAGCTGAATACGACACACAACCAAACCAACGAACAGCCAGCAAACAGAGTTGGAAGGAGGCAGGCTAGTTCAATTTCATTCTGATTTAATGAGGCTGGGTTTTTAAACAATTATGCAGTTTCCTTGGGAAAAAAAAATAAAGAAAGAGAGAAAGAGAGAAATAGCACAAGGATGCTGCTTTCAAGACCGCTTCATTGCAAGCAGCTTCCCCTGAACAATGTGAGCAGGATGGAAGGCGGTTCAGCCTCTCTGCTGCTAAAATGCCCCCGTATTATTTGGGGGTAAATACTTCCCCTATAACATAACTCTGTAAATGCTCCCGTACCTCGGGGCTCACTCCTCAACACCCTGGGCCATGCAGGCTCCCAGGAAGACCACGTCTGTGTTGGCTTCATTTCAGAGCGCCCAGGACACAGGGACATCAGGGCATCCGTGAGGGATGCAGGGAGACTCCAGCAGCTCAGGGACCGCGTGACGAGGAGGTCGCCGGGATGATGTCCCCATGGCCGGTCCATAGTGGCCACCGCAGCCTCCCAGGAGGCTCCTGCTCGTCCCAGCACAAAACCCAGGCACTGCCCAATGCCCCCGGTGAGGCAGGAAACTGAGAGGACTTCTGAGCTAGTGAGAACCAAACCCTGAGCTTTAACTGAAGAAAGTCGTTATTTTCCTTGCAATCCAGCTTTCCTAGTGTGTGGCACTTCTAAACTGTCCGTCTCTGCAGAACTCTAATATTGCTGGGACAGGACGGAACAACATGATACTATATTTTCCAGCCACAGGAATAAACCGAATCCCGAACTCGGATTAATTCTCACTGGGGTCAGCTAACAACACATGGCAAAAATAGAACAGTATCTTTGACCATCCGCGTGGGCTGCTGCTCCAAAGGGAGGGACCATCCAAATCCCRGGCTGTGCCATGGCTGGCACAGGGAGCGCTTGGCGGGAAATGCAGCTGAGGAGGCTCCAGGGCCTTTGGTGGCGTTTGGGAACACCCTGCAGCCCCGGCCTTCCCGCTCTGCCTGGAATGAGGGGATAATGGATCTGAGTATGTCCTCACACCGCTCTTACCACCGTCGCTGCATTAATTTTAGATTATTTCCTTCCTGATTTAGAGGGAGTCCCAAGAGACRGAACGCAAACCGCGGCTCTCCGCGCTCCTTCCCCTCTTGGTATTGCTGCCAGGCCATCCATAACAGGGCTGGCCAGACGTAGCCCTCGCCCCCATCTACCAATTTCAACCCGAATGCTCTCCTGTAATGTGAAAGTTGGGCTTATTTACTCTACTTACAGTTCTAAAGAGATTATTCTAAGCTTAGGATAAATCACTGTGAAAAAAAAAAAAAAAAAAAAAAAAAAAAAAAAAGCCTGTGCACCAGCGTGGGGATTTACAGGCTCCTTAATGTCTTATCTGCAGCCTCTGTTTCATACTAATGAAATAACTGGAGCCCTCTGACTCTATGAAACATCTTCAGTACTGAAGAATCATTATCAAAGATACAAAACTGAAACGTTACCAAAAAAAAAACCCCTCCAAATCTCCGTGTCTGTTGCTGTGTGGTACTAAAACTAACTTAACTTCAGTAAATTCCCTAAGTATTGAAAGCCTGCCAATGACCACTGCAAGATTAGTGCTAATTGGTGCTCATCTTTGAAGAGAAATCAGCTTGGGGACGTTGAAAGGGAAATATAAAGCGGCGACGTACCGCTAAGTCAGGGGACGTATCTGCGCTAAGCGGCTCTGCTAATTAAAGGGGAAAAGAAGAAGAAAAAAGATTAGAACCCAATCTAGAAGAGAACAGAAATAACTTGCAGCATATGAGCTGGGCATCAAAGGTTTCGCTCCTTAACTGTGTATTTCTTGCTTGATTTTCTTCTCAATTTCCTGTCCTATCTAATAGGACAGGATGCCMCTTGGAAGTTTTCAGAAAACGCTCCAACCCAGATAAGCACCCTGCTTCCCAACAAACCTAAAAGACAAATCCCAGGCAGAAAAAGGCAAATCCTAAAAGGCCAATCCCAGCTGGCGCCCCGGACTCCCAGACGGGTCCCCCGGACGCGGCGCTTCACTCGCCAACCTGTGCTGGTGCAGACAGGACCTGTCGCCTCATCATCACCTCATCACCCCTTCCCCATCCAAAAGCCAAGGAGCTGGACGTCACCTCGTGTCTCGAGGCCACCTCCTACCCACCGAGGCCCCGAAGTCTCACTGTGCCCTGGCCAGCTTTTTATTTCCATYYATTTATTTATTTTTAGACAAAACGTCTGAAAAAAAGATTTCATTCTCATTTTCAGCCCAGAAACAAGGCAAGCACACGCTCATTCTTAGGTGCAGAAATATCGGTGTTATTGGCTGTGCTTTGGAGGTAATTTCAATGCATTATCACACAACAAAACACGCTGAAATGCCATAGCAATGTTGCACACTCGCTGCTTTTAACCAACTCTAAAACACTCAAATGTGAGCGTGGCTTCTCTCTGTTGGTTTTGGTGCAACGCCAGCCCTCCCTCCACCAAGTGTTATTTGCGAAACGCTCTCAGGCTGCCAAGCCATTAGATGTAAACCTTTTTAAACAGTGCCCAGGATATCAGAAACCCCAAGCAGGCTCTCAGCGACTGCACATCTCCCTCCTTTCCCTTCAGAGCCATACAAGGGCTATTTCAGCATGACACATGCTTTAATACCTTTAATATCCCATCAGTACTTCCTATCTCGGGTCAATTCCTTCCCAGGCACCCCCACCACCATAATCCTTTTTGGTTGGCATTAGGGAATGATGGCTTTTGGTTGGCATTAGGGCTAAGGAGGAGGCAGAGCCAGAGGTGCCCTGGGTATCCCCAGAAGGAGGATGAAGGTGAGCAAGGAGGTCTACACCTTATTACAGGTTATCCACATTGGATCTATCCCATGTTGGATCTATCCCTGTTGGTGCTACCCCAAGTGGATTAGCTCTACCAATGTCTTTCTTTACTTAAGAATTATTTTTACTTTAGCAGTTTAATTAAAAAGAAGGGGAAAAAAAAAAAAAGAGTAGAAAATCCCAATCAATTCACTTCTTAAAAAAGTTTAAATTCTTTT